CCTTTTCACTCTCCTTCAGTGTTCATTCTCCCTGAATGTGCTTCCAGAAAGCCCAGCTTTCCAGCCCACAACCCTGCCTTCCACGGGTTTTTGGAGTTTCTATGTCATGATAATATTGTGCCTTAAAGCTCCAGTCATCAGATGGAAATGACTTGACTTAGTTTACTAGCTTAGTTACTCTTGGTTTAGTCACTCTTCTTTCTCCTACTCACCAATAGCTACTTACAAACCAATCTCAAGTAGCAGTAGGAAGTATTTTTCTTCTTTCTATTGAGGTATATGCAGTGAAATGCACAAATATTAAGCATACAGTTAGATGAGTTTTGAAACAGTATATGTACTTGAGTAACGATACTCCTATCAAGGTATTTCCATCCCCCCAGGAAGTTCCCTCACATCCCAGCCAATTTCTCCCTACTCTAGCAACCTCTGCTGTAATTTTACCACCATAGATTAATGTTGCGTGTTCTGGAACTTCAGAAAGACAAATACCACATGTTCTAATTCATATGGAGGAGTGGAAAAAGTGGGTCTCCTGGCGGTAGAGAGAGGCGTGGTGGTGGTAGTGAGAAACTGGGAGGGGTGTCGGGAGGAGGTGAATGGTACAAATGTAGGACATAAAATAAATAAAGAGCAGCAAAATTAACACATTGTCAATTACGTATAATAGGTACTCCTTTATGCCAGGTTTCTTTTCCTCAGCATAGAGAGTCTTCCAATTTGATGAGTGTACTAGGGATTCATTACTTTTTCTTTTCTTTTCTTTTGTTTTTTGAGACAGAGTCTCACTCTTTCACCCTGGGTAGAGTGTCATGATGTCATAGCTCACAGCAACCTCAAACTCCTGGGCTCAAGAAATCCTCTTACTTCAGCCTCTCAAGTAGCTGAATCTACAGGTGTGCACCTCCATTTCCAGCTAGCTTTTTCTATTTTTAGTAGAGATGAGGTCTCACTCTTGTTCAGACTGGTCCCTATCTCCCAAGCTCAAACCATCCCCATGCCTTGGCCTCCCGGATTGGTAGGATTACAGGCATGAGCCACCACACCCAACAATTCATTTCTTTTTACTTTAAGGTTTATAATCCATCTCAGATTAATTCTGTGTATGGCATGAAGTAGGCATTTACCTTCTTTAATTTTCCATGTAGATATTCTGTTGTTTCATTCCATTTCCTGAAACGACTTTCTTTCCCCATGGGATGGCTTTGTCATCTTTATGAGAAATCAATTGACTGTACATATAAATCTACACCAGTAAGTTTGCAGTGATTTTTTTTTCTCATAGCATAACTGTTCCTCATAACTAGAACAGTTACATTACCTTTTT